AAAAAAAATGCATGGACTGTAGTCTGGGTACTGTTTTCTTGTGTTCAGTGTTGCACACGTGAGGTCAATTTGTACTGTTAACTATATACAGTAACAAAGTACTAATTTCATTGCTGTATAGTGTTTCACTACGTGACTGTATCACATTTATCTATCCATGAACATCTGTGTATTTCCCAATTTGTTTTGGTGATTTCAAACAGTGATGCAGGGCTGCTGCTCAGTGGGTAAAGGTACTGTACCCACTGAGCACCAGCTGTCAGGCTGACCCCAAGTTGGATCCACGACCCACATGATGGGAGAGAACCAGCCCTTGTCTTTCTCTGACCTTCACATGAGCACTGTGGTACTCATGCACTACACACACCACCACCACCATCACCACCACCACCTCCACCACCACCACCAAATAATGCTATGACTACTGTTGCATATAATATGCTCATCTTTATGAATTTTGTTGGATATAGAGGAACTTCTGGGTATCAGATTATACACATGCTCACTTTTAAGGCACTGCTGAAGTTTTCCCACATGGTTCCCATCAGCAGTATCTGAGGTTCTGATTGTTCCAGATTTTTGTCAACACTTCATAGTTCCCATGTGTGTCAATGAAACTTGTTTGGTTTTGAAATTTTTAGAGTAATACATTTCATTATCTGGCAGCCTTTGTTCAACAATGTTTCATGTTTTTCCATGTTTTTCTATAAAAAGTTTGTCATTCACTTATTAGTGACTAGTCATCAATCGTATTTTAAATTGATTGTTTTATTTTTATGAATTGTATCCAGGTTTTAGTCACACTGAAAATTGCTTTTATGTAAATTGCCTTTATGTAAAAGTATCTTCATGCACATTATCATGAATGTGCAGATGTGGTACAGGTGAGGGTGAGGCAAAATGATTAAATAACAATATATTTCAAATTATTCACAAAAACTTCCAGTACTCCCAGCAGTGCGGCAGCTATTGTTGCTCTGCAGTCCCTAACAGGTGCAGTGAGGTTTGCATATTTAAGGCAGTTTGATCCAGGTGTGGCAAGTGTTTTGTTCTTAGTTCCCTTTCCATAAAGTTCACTCTCTTCCTTAGATTCATTTCCACTTTGTTTCCTGCGGAGCTGGAGACGTGAGGCAAGCACTCACCACTGAGCTACATCTCCAGCTCCTGCTTCTGTTTTGATTTCCTGTTGTGGCGTGGTGACAAGCCCTCTGCATGTGGCCTTTGGGGAATATTCATAATCCAAACCATAATACTTTCATTATTCGGTCCTCCATTAGGTGTTCACTACTGATGCCTGCTTTTACACATAAGTTTTAAAGAAGCTTCCACGCTTAGTTCCACTCTAATATTCTATCAGTAATAAGTTATGGTAGACACTGCCAATATTGTGCCTAAGGAACAGGGTTAAGAACTTAAAATCGGCTTGTCAAGACAAGCATGGAGGCACCTGCCTGTAATCCCAGCATTCAGGATGCTGAGGCAGGACTATACGTTGGAGGCAAGCCTGAGCTACACGGCAAGCCCGTCATCTAATAAGTAAATAAAACTCAATACTTTGATACAAGAAGTGGCTACTTGAAAGTGCTGTATTTTCTACCTTAGAAAGTCCAGTCAAGACTAACGTGGTGGCACACACATCTGAGAAATGAAGGGAGGAGAATCAGGAGTTCAAGGTCACCCTTAGTCATACAGTGAGTTGGAGGCCAGCATGGGCTACACGAGACTTTCTCTCAAAAACCACCAAAAAAAGTCTGAACAAGTTTTTCATGTAGTCATTTTATTTCATTTTACTTTATTTGAAACTCACAGGCAATTTCAAGTAGGGTTTGAGAGAAAAATCAACAGGGCAGGTAAATTGCCAAGAGGAGGGCGATGGGAGTCTTTTTTAAATTTTTATTTCTTTATTTTGGTCTTTTTGAGACAGGGTCTCCCTGTAGCCCCAGCTGTCCTGGAACTCACTATATAGACCAGGCTGGCCTTGAACCCACAGAGATCCACCTGCCTCTGCCTCCCAAGTGCTGGGACTACAGGTGTACGCCACCATACCCGGCTCGGGAGTCTTTTTTTTTGTTTGTTTTTTTTTTTGTTTTGTTTTGTTTTGTTTTTAATACTTAGGAGCTGGAGAGATGACTCACCAGTTAAAACAAATATTGCTCTTTCTTTAGCTCCTAAGCTCAGTTTCCAGTATCCAAGTCAGGGGGCTCATAACTGCCTATAACTCCAGCTCCAGGGGATCTGCCTTCTTCTGTTCTGCAGGCACTTGCACTCAAATGCACATACCCACCAGCTTCCCCATATTAAACATATAATTTTTAAAAATAATAAACAAATCTTTAAAAAAATAAACTCAGAATTCTAAAGAACCATTACCTGCAGCCTAATAGGATGGCTCAGTAGGTGAGGGTTTGGCACCAAGCCTGATGACCTGAGTTCAATCCCAGGACCCACATGGTAGACGAGAACCAATGCCCACAAGTTGTTCCCTGACCGGCACATCTGTGCTGGGGTGTGTGTACCCATATACATACACACAAAAAGTAACTAAATAAATACAATTTTTAAAAATAAGTTAAGAATGTTACCTTTATTGTCTTAATGCTGGAAAGAGCCATTTTATCTGCTGCTTTCATTTCAGGCACAGCAACCATAGTTCTGGACACACCCAATCTGCTTTGATTTGCACCAGGATATAGTTTCCCTGTAGCTGATTTTGCTGGGTTGATGAAGCTAATAGACTTCCTCAGTTGTGAGCTAGCACTCCTGTACAATGAAAAGGAAATACAGTATAAAAGATCAAGGATTGAAAAGAAAAATCAGCAAACTACAACGAAAAGTAAGCTTTCATTTAGAAATAAAACCAATCAAAATATACACCATGAAATAATAGCTACTGAGTTTATTTTCTGTAAGCACAGTTTTATTAGAGAGTTTATACTTATGATCGCTTCCTTTCACAGCAACCTAAGAGGTTGGCATTAGCATCATTTCATATAAAGACACAAGCTATGCAAGACGACTCAGTGGGTAAAGGTGTTTGCAGCACAAGCCTGGTGACATGAGTTTAATCCCACAAGTCCAGGTAAATAGTCAGGTGTAGAGATAAAAGAATCATCCGGAAACACTGAGAAAGACTCAACCTCAAAAACAAAAGGAGAGAACCAACTCCTAAAAGCTGTTCTCTGACCTCCATATGCCTGCCTACACTCTCATATGTACATCACATACACGTGCACACACGCACGCATACACAACAGTGAAAAATAAAAATTAAGTAACAAAATTATGTAATGACACAGGCTTAAAGGAAAAGTTGAGATTTGATTCGAGCAGGAAGATCCAAAACCCGCACTGACTTCTCCGTGACTTAAGTTTCCTTATTTTATAAAACGGACAACAGAACGTAATGCATCAGTTATTATAAGAATTAAATGAATTAATTTATGTATTATGGTTAGGAAGTACCTGGCACATGATACAGTCAAATAAGTGCAGTGTCTGTAGTTAAACAGGCAGAGTTAAATATGAATAATAAAACCTGGGAAAGTGTATCATGTTCCCGTCTCGGTAAATCATATGATTTTTAATTAGAAAATGAGTAAGTTTTTGTATTCAGGAAGGAAAAACAACTTTACTTTTGGATTTAGTACACAAATTCTGAAAGCAGGACTAACCCTTGTCATTTTGTTCACCCTAGTACTTTATGTCATAAACTTCTATAAAATAATGTCTTGGATCCTAAAAGGGAATGGACCTCCAAAGGAGACAATCTCAGCAGTACTTAAAAGCAGAACTGGAAAAAACCTGGTTTCACATTTCCTTTTTCTTCATATCACTTATCCCTATTGGACGGTTTGTTGTTTTCTACTCTTCTACAGAATGAGATCATGTTCAAGATGGGAACTGCCTCATCCACTGCACTCCCAGCCCCTAGCCGTGACTTCATTCATCATAGCCACTAAATAAATATTTAACTTTAAGTGTCTTACCCTGTCCCCTAGAAAACAATGGTAAGAGAGTCGTCATATAAAATTTCCTTTGTCTCTGTCATCTTTAAATATTTCTTCTTCCTACAAATGCATCTCAAGTCACCTGTATCTCATTTTCTCTTTCAACAAGAGTTCCCACTCCACCTGCCTCACCGACCCTGCTACTGCTTTCACGGACCTTCTCATCAGCAGTTCTTAGGCTCCTCTATCGTACTGTCCCAGGAACTGTCCGTAACTATGCTGCGGTTCCTCCTCTGCTTAAAAATCTTTCCCTTTGCTATGCCATCCTTTGCCTGTCACAGCTCTTTTTTATTTAGTACAGTTTCCTAAAACCTACATCAGTAAGGCCTATGCTTTTTTGTAGTGCTAGGGATTCGACTCAGAAGCTGACATCCTTCTGACATCACTTTACCACTGAACTGCTTCCCTTGCCCTCCCTCCCTCTTTATTGCTCTTATATGCTACATATGGAATCTAATTCAGCGTCACTCTCTCTTAGAGAGACAACTGGCATTACAATCTATTCCTCCAAATTATTGCATCCGAGATACTCTTCACACACATCTTTGTGGCATTCAATGGTTATTCTCCCCTTAAAATTAAGCAAGCCGGGCGTGATGGCCGAGTATCTGTACTCTTAACACTTCGTGAAGTGGAGGCAGGAGGAAAATGAATCAAGGCCATCTTCAGCTAGATAGTTCAGGGTCAGCCTGGGCTAAATGAGACCCTATCTTTAAAAAATAAAATTCTATGGAAATTGACTATTCACATTGGTTTCTGAGACATCACAATTTCCTATTCTTGAACCTCTTTCAGACCCCTGATCAACGTAATCCATTTTTTTTCTTACAACTTACCTTTTAGATTTCTCAGAGTCCACAGCTTACCAACTCTATCACTGTGGTCATTATCTTTAACTCTCTTATTTCCTTTCTCCTTGACCTTTTTGTTGTTGAAAAGATTTTTTTTTCTTTGTGTGTGCATGTGTGCGGTGTATGTGTATATACGCAGGTGTGTGTGCTCAGGCACACTTGGAAGCCAGAGGAAGATTTTAATGTCCTGTTCTACCACTTTCCACCTGTTCACTTGAGTCAAGGTCTCTCACTGAATCTGGAGCTAGGCTGGTAGCCAGCAAGCCCTAGTGATCCTGTCTCCATCTCCCCACAGCATGGGGTTACAGGGCTGGGTGACCATGCCTGGCTTTTCAGATGGGTATTTGAACTCAGGTCCCCATGCTTTTGCAGCAAGCAGCCTCGCCTGCTTATTTCCTCACCTGTCTCCTTTGCCTTTTGCCCAACTGTCTTTCTGGAACCCAGTGTTCCCGTTCTTATTAGATCCCTCTTTTGAAGCGTATACTTAGGCTCACATCTGCTTATCTGTTCTCTCAGGATATTCATATCCCTGAGCAAATTTAGCAAAATCCGGCTTCAGTGGTCACATATATTCCAATTCCTGTTTACCCTCATTACCACCTGCTCTCTTCTCCTCTGAGTATTTTTAAATACTTTTTATTGAGCTTTTGTACATTTCATACAACAGGTCTTATCAAATTAAGACACCCCCTCAATGCATGCCTCCCACCTCCACCCCACAGGGCCCCATGTGTTCTGCCATTTATGTTACATCCAGCCCCTCCATTACTACTCATGGCACAAGTATTTCAATATCCACGAAGGTAATCACTCTCTAGCGACCTCCTAGCTCTGAAATCTTCTCACATACATGACCTTCCCTGTCTTGCTACTTCAGTTCTTCTGGTCATAAACTTGAACTTGTCTTTAGAAAGGTCAACGGTTACTTCCTATTTTTCCAGATTATATTCTGTCTTAAACCCCAACAGTAGGCATCCTTCAATTCTATTGTGACCTTCCACCCTTGATTCCAGGACATTTTACTCCCTTATCTACTTCTCTAAGGCTCTGTCTTCCCATTGACTTTTTTCCTCCAAGTGCTTTTGTTGTTTGGTTTTTTGAGACTGGGTCTCATACAACCTAGGCTGGTCTCAAACTTGTTATATAGCTCAGGATGACCTTGAATTCCTGATCCTCCTCCCTTAATCTTCCAAACTATCTTCCTGTGCCCACAGTAATCCCAATCTTTATACCTCAAATTTTCTATTGATACATTATAAGTATAATGTACTATTTGTGTCTATGTATATATTTGTACATGTATACATGGGCACATGTATTTTTTGAGACAGGTGTCTGGCTCTGTAAAGTGAAAAAAAAAGGCAAAACACCTGACAGGTCTCACTTCAAATAATAGGTTATTCACCTTGTCTGAGTCCTTAATGTGCTAGCAATCTGTTCATATTTTACAATGTTCTCTGAGGCCATTATTTTATACTTAACTTTTACCACAATAACACCACCTCCCTTCTGAACATACTTTTTACTTTCAGTTGATTACGAAAACTGAGTCAGTCACGTGACTTCCGTATATTCCCAACACATCGATGTACCGCCCTATGTCCGTATATTCTCTATTTCTTTTCTAATACTATGTGGAATTATCAATTATTCTAAATCTAGGTCAGTTTTTCTATAACTACACATTCCATTCCTTTTTGCTTATTCAAAGAGCATTGTTTAAGCAATTCTAACTCTTGAGAAAGTATTATTCTTTATTGGATTACTTGCTACAGTTTGTGAACATACTGTCATTTCTTCCCTTTTCAGCAAACAAAAATGTCTCTTGATTTCATCTATCCCCAAGTCACCAATCCTTTATGCTGTCTTTGATTATAGCAACTTTTTGAAAAATTTAACTGTCTCTACTTTTATCCAACCTCTCTATCTGTATCCTCTCTCGAATCTACTCTGATCTCAGAGATCCTCCTGCCTCTGCTCCTGAGTGTTCAACACTAACTCTAGTGGCCACTACAATGTTTGCAACTTATTAGCATTTGAACTAGTCATTCATGCTTCCGCTTTCTCTTCTTAAAACTTTGATTGCAGGCCAGCAAAGTGGTTCGGTGGGTAAAGTGCTTGCCACACAAGTCTGAGGACCTGAGTTTGATTCTTAAAACCCATGTAAAGGTGGAAGGAGAGGACTGACTCCAAAGTCATCCTCGGACCTCCACATGTGGCTCTGGCACATGCACAGCCCCCCCTCCCCAATAATGACAATAATTTTTTTTAAAAACTTCGATTGTATGATATTTTTTCTCTGGTTATTCTCTTTCACAGCATTCATCCTCAGACTATTCTATCTACATTCAAAGCCTAATGAACTTATTCAATACTGTGACTTAAACTTCATCCACGCCCCCCCCCCCCCAATAATGACAATAATTTTTTTTAAAAAACTTCGATTGTATGATACTTTTTCTCTGGTTATTCTCTTTCACAGCATTCATCCTCAGACTTTTCTATCTACATTCAAAGCCTAATGAACTTATTCAATACTGTGACTTAAACGTCATCCCTGTGAAAACGACTTCGAAAAAGCTGAGTCTTTGTGAGTCTTCTTTCGAACCCTACAGCCATATATACCCTCCATAACTGAAATTTTAAAACTGAAACTTCTACATTCCAAACTAAGCTTCTGACATTACCTTCCAGCATCCCTGCTTCCTCCTGCCCAGCTAATCTACTTTCCTTGCATTCCTTACAAGTTTTGTTAAAGGAAGCTGCTGTTTGCTGCTTGAATGGGAAAAAAAAAAAAATCAACTGTATTCAAAGTCTTATGAAGGTGGAAATTGGGCTTTTTTTTCTTCCCTGCTGTATCCCTAATGCCTCTGACAGTACCTAACCCGGCAGCTGCTTAATG